GTTTACGCTTTTATCAAATTTGTTCTCGTATGCGTGTTTTTATTTCCATTTTAACGCCAGAAAGGCAGTGGTTATTCATATTATTGTTGCAATAAATTTAAAAAGATGTTTTCTTTACACATCTGTCTTATGTTTTTGTTTTGAAAAATAAAGTTCTTAAAATTATCTTAAAATAGATACTCTATTGTGCGTATGTTTTGTATTTATGGTCATTTGAACTTCACTATGACGTACTCGACATGCGCATTCGGACATGATAAGAAAAAAAGTTCAAATCAAACTCGTGAATAAAAATACGAGCATAAAAGTGGTTACAGATATCTAACTAATATCTTCGTTACATATGTATTATTCATGTCTTGTGCTTTTCGAAAGATGTCAGATTTAGTTTCATTGAAATATTTAAAATGAAGCTTACAGATTAAGATTTTCATTACAGCAAAGCAATGATATAAAAAGCCTAAATTCTCTGGCCAATACGGCTAGCTGTCTACAGCCAAATAGCAAGGCCAATATGAGCTTAACCCATTATTTGTATTCTTATTATATGGTATTTACTGAGAATCTTTCATAGGATAAAGCGACTTGGCGAGTAAAATATCACTTGCCACAATGTCAAAGCGTAAGTATTGTTTGACAAATCGTAAAATGTACTTATTCTTGTGAACTCCATCTGCTTACCACACCGTATTACCGGCGCCAGTGATGGCAGATCACTGCAGTGATGGCAGATAGCTGAAATTTACCAATCGGTACAGGTAGGTTATTAATTTGGTTTGTATTATTATATTACATAAATACGGTCCATTTCATTGCTATGAAACTATTAGGTAATTTTGGACTCGTTTTTTCTGTTTTTAGACTATCTTGAGCAGGTTAAAAGTGACAGCTTCGGAAAAAAACAGTGAAGATGTTTGTTTTTTGTTCAAAATATCTCAAGTTTTGACTAAATGGTAGGATTTTGTGTTATTAATATAGACGTTCATCCATTGGGGTCGCGCAAGCCCATTATCTACCCCGTGAGTCTTTTCTTGAAAGTTTTACAGACGTTCAATCTGGTCCGGTCGAAGAAAAAATGCTGCCGTTGTAGGCAGATACTTATTTTAAATGCTGCCGTCGATGGCAGAAATACCATGAAAGTGGCTAACATTCTGACAGAAAATCAAGGTCAATCTTTTATCAATTCCTCTATTCTTTGCGCCCTTTTAGTCGGAATTGAGACGTTAACTATCATTTCTAATATTTTCACAAGATAGAAAAGTTATTAATGCGGTATGTGCATCGAAAAAGCTTTTTAGCAACACGAAGTTACAATACCAAATGTGATGATTCAGTACGACCAAATTGCACTATAAATAGAGCAATTAACAAGAGGAAATTCATTTTTCTATATTCATGCAAGTGTGCTTGATCTGCTGTGTCTGTCAGTTACATGCATACAATACCATATGTATCTTAAGTTTAGCAGCGCATAATTCACTCCTTTTTCAAGACATAACACCATTTGCATATTACAGCTGTAACTTCGGTAAGTGGATATTCATTTGCTAGCATATGACATTATTTTTTCGAGTAAATAATGTTCATCGCTTTATGACATATTAAGACTGAAATTTACTTAGTCGGCGCTAATGCTGCAGATTATAAGTTACTAAATCGATTTATTTTATGCTTTTCAGTGGATTACTGATTTATCCGTGAAAATTATATTTGATAATTTCACAGTGAAAATTATCAAAATATAATTTCACTTTTTTCAATGACGAAACTACTTTTTTTAAGATTTTCCCCATGTAGTACCTCAATTTTATTTTTACTGACAATTCTGACAATGTCAGAGGCTGTTAAAAGAAATAGCAAAGCTGAAATAGATAAATAACTTAAATGTCAAAAGTAGTAAAGAGAGAAAACTTACTTCTATTCCTTCAAATTCCAATCACCAAATTTCGTCTCTAAAAATTTTTTGTTTCGTTTTTACAGTCTGAAAAATACATTCCTTCCCCATGCAAAACTGCTCTTGATGACATTTGGGCATATTAAAGTATCCTACAAGCAATAACTGCCGTATGCTTTATGAAAAATTGAAAAGCATTGACAGCCATCACTCGTAAAATAAGTAAATCAAACCAGCGTTCCTTAGCAAGCTTCCAAGTTTTCCAGTTTCCTAGCTCCTTTTCTGAATGTTTTCACTTCTGTCAACACTTATTTTTTGTCTGTTACAATCCTAAAATAAGTTTTCTTTCTTTTAAAAAGGTGTATGACTAACAAATCCAAATTATATCCTTCTGAATCTTACACAATTATTTTCCTCCCATGAAATACACAACTTTAAAAAATGGCTGCCGCTTACATTTTACAAAGCCAGGTCTAATATAAATTCGCAGTAAGTAACAGAAATATGGATGGATGGTTGGACTTTTTCTCCTACAAGAATTGTTTGTTTTTATTATTAAAACAAGCGATCATTCATATTTTTTGATAAAATGAATAAATATCACCGTCATTTAACCTTGATTGGCGGACTTTTTTTCAGCTCAAGACTTCTTGTTTAAAATGAGAAATTCCGTCTAAATGGGGCTCTCAATGGGGGAAACAGATTTTAATATTAACGTTAAAATTATGGAAATTTCGTTTTAACTTGTTTTTAAGCATAAAATGAAAAGAAAATTTGTCTGTTTGTTGTGTAAGATGTAATTTTATTTCATCTCGTGAACTTTAAAAACAGTATTCTCACTCGTGGCTACGCCACTCGTGACAATACTGTTTTTAAAGCCCACTCGATGAAATAAAATTTCATCTTACACACAAACAAACAAATATCCTCTATGTAATATAGGGAAGATTATTAACCTTGCAACTGACAAGATCTGTGGAAATCAGTGTATCATAAAACAATGTATGTTAATGTAATGTTAAGATAATATTATCTACAGTTCAAATATTTTCCTATATTATCAAGTTCTTGAAAAACACGACAACGTGGATTCATTTTTTTTAATTTTTTACGTTTGAAATCGCGTTGCAGTTTGCCTTTGAATTACATTTACTATGCTAAAATATTAACAACCGTACTAACATTAAGGTGGACATACATTAACATACATTGTTTTATGATACACTGATATCCACAGATCTTGTCAGTTGCAAGGTTAATAGTCTCCCCTTTATTACATCGATTTAGTATCTTATAATCGGCAGCATTAGCGCCGACAAAGTAAATTTAAGGCTGTGTGATATAATAATACCAACCAAATTGATAACCTACCTGTACCAATCGGTAAATTTCAGCTATCTGCCATCACTGCAGTGATCTGCCATCACTGGCGCCGGTAATACGGTGTGCTTACTGTGTGTGTATTTGCGTTTATTTATACTCGCCACCGGTTGCCCATATGGGCGAGTCCTCCAGAAGTGTATTAGTCATTTTAGATTTTGGAGATAGTGCAATTACAGGTACAGCAAGATGCCCCAATTTCAGAAGCTTCCCCTGGTTCTTTAACGTGCCAAGTTGTTTAAGCACCCAGCCATGGGACCTCGATTAAAAGTGTTATCCAAAAGACTGATTAGTAATTTTGGTTGGCCAGTCCGGGAATCGAACCCACAAGGTCGAGATTACAAGTCTCGCGCTCTAACCGATTGAGCTATGCGGGCTGGCTGCTAACAAAAATTCCGGTGCATATTATATGTGTTAATCGTAAAATTCGGTCATATCTAACGCCCGACTGCGGATCGAATACTACATGATCAAGGAGTACTACATGATAATTTTTGTTTTCGTATTGACCGTGCATTTCATACTATGTTTTTCACGTATTTGCCGTTTCTGATAAAATAAAAAAATTTGCCTTCACGTTTGAAGTGAATATTTAATATGTATTTGGGGGGGGGGGGGGGGAATATAAAAAAGGAGATAATTTAGCAAAAATACCTGTCAGGATCATCTGTCCTGTAGAAATGCATTAGTACTTTTAAATGTTATAAGTATTTAAGTTTAAAGTGAATATGTTTGAAATTAGCCGTAACCAAAATGTTAATCAGAGCGAAAACATCTTAGAGAAATAAGGGGAATAACTTTGCAAACTATATCTAGGATTATCTGCCCTTTGATATTGCATCATATGATCATAGTAAACAAATAAACCACATTTAAAGTAAATTCGGTAGTGTCTGAGAAAATAAATGAAATTACCGAAACCAAATTCTGAGAGCGACAATACCATAATACCTTTAATCTGTTGTCAATCAGGGTTACAAATGAAAATGGGAAACAAAAAAAAAATACTTATCTATTGAGAATTAGTATCAATTATCCTTTCTAGCCTAAAAATTACATTATATAGCAGCTCAAAACCTCGATATTTAGGTTCATAAAAGAAAACAAGTAAAACAAAGATGGCAATTACAATAAAAATAACTATGAGAATGTTAAAAAGTAATATAATACTACTTTAATCATGATTTTAACATGAATTTACATCTTGCGACATTTAACGGTAGTGTTGCGACATTTAACGGTAAGGGAAATTCGTGCGACATTTAACGTTAATATTGCGACATTTAACGGCAAATGATTTTGCGACATAAAGCGGCGGTTGCGACATTTAGCGGCAATGGTGCGACATTTAGCGGCGTTGCGACATTTAACGGCGCCACAAACTGTTAAACGTATATTAAACAAGGCGCTTAATCGATTACATCAATTCTTAAGGAGAAAACACATTACAAGTTCGAAAACACTCAAAATCAACAGTATTTTGTTATACATTAAAGATATATTTACTTCGAGTACAATATGAATTTCATATGGATCTTTTGGACTTTTGAAGGATGACAACGAGGCTAAATAGAGTACAATGTAGATTTGATACGGATTTTTTGGACGCAGAATATGAAAACGAGGCTAGATAGAGTGGAATATTCACATGTTATGGGTTTAGGCATCAGACGTACATAAACAAAATTAATAAAGAAATCACTAAAACAAAATCATTGCAAAAACGTAAAATGTTGAGTATTTATTATGAAAAAAGTGTATATAACATATTAAAAACAGTTAAATATAGATTATAGAATGTAAGTAAGTGTAAATAATTTGAAAATGTATATAATTTTTGTATGTAAATAAGAAAGTGAGTATTCATATAAAATTTGGATTTTTATACCACTACAACACTTAATAAAAAAATAAATCACTTGCATTGATAATACTGTTGCCCATCGCAATCTCCGTTCAATGATTTTAAATTTTTCTCAAGACTAATCCGTTCTTGGTAAGTTAAAATCAAGTTGAATGATTATATGAAATGTCTACATCAAGTTTATACATGTATTACTACGACGTAGCTGCAATGTTGATTAGTAATGTTGATTACATTTTCTTATAGATAAATGTGTATTTATAGCAACAAGAAATGATATAAAAATATATAAAAGAAAAACATAGAAAAACAGCGATAACGTGATTTTCATTAAAATATGTAAAAAAAGATTATATAAAAAGTGTACATTATGAAAACATTGGGAAAAGGCCGGTCAAAAAAGTACAAGTATAAGATCAAATACTTCGAGGTTCTTATTCCAAATTTTCACCCTCTTCGTTTTGTAAGGATAAATGAGCAAAATGAAATTATGAAAATAAAATCTATCACAATAGACAAGGTAAATTATGCTTGATATAACAAAATTAACATGTACACACTCGTGATTGTGCATTAATTTTTTTGACAACAAATACGTCGAGTGTAATAGGAAGTACACAGATTCCATCTGAACTACAACTAATAATTGTTGTAGTATAAAAAAGCAGCACGCACGTTTTCACCAATATCTAAAAAAACTAAATTAATCACATTAAAACAACCCATAACTACATTCGTAATTGTGATAAAATCGTTACTTGATATGGCATTTGTACTGGGATCTATATACATTTATTAAACTGTTAATATTTTGATTCTTTTGATTTTTTTTCCACTACCCTGGAGACACGAAGCTTCAAAAGTATTAATTACACGATGTTTGTTGGTTAACAATAAAACTCATATTATACTATGTATACCTTATATTAGTGTCATGACACTTGAATGAGTAAAATATACCATTTAGTAACCATTTTTATAGTCTTGCTGTATTGAACAAAATATTTCAAGTGAGTTTTTAAGTTCAGAAAACTTTTTGTAAAGCAATTATTGCAACAATAAATACGATTGTAGCAAAGTTGCGCGTGCTGCCGGAAGTTTCGTCATTCTCGTTGCCATCTTCAGAGTTTTGTTTTTTGTAGAAAGAGTATCCGCCACATTTAGGATGGTCCTTGGGTGGTGTAGGAAAATTGTCCGGGTCTCCAACTTTCATAACCATAGCCATACCTTGCATCAAATGACCCTCGGAATGACAGTGGAAAAACCACATACCTATAATGTAAAAGATGATATAATATTCAGACTTTTAGGCATTTTTCAGCCATTCAAAACAATACTGAAATTGTCAAGAGTTCAACACTAGTCTATGCAAGACAAAGGAACTCACATAAAATAGAATGATTTAATCAACCTTACCAATATGCTTCTGTCTAATATTTCCAGTTTATTTTAATTTCAACATAACATATTAGTCTCTATTTCCACTTATCCATGTAAAAATATCTTGGAATAGAGTTCAATTAAAACAATAATTTACCTGGATTATCTGCCTTGAATCGGATGATGGTATAACCTCCACGTCCCTGTACTGCTACCGTATCTTTGTAAAGCGGATTAGTGAGCATGCGCGGGAATTCCCCGTTTCCGTTGGCGTCCCTGGCCTTAATGTCATCAATGTCAATTTTCAGAAAGTCATTTGTTGATATGTTGGTCAGCTGCAATGATATAAGTCAAAATTTTGATCCATAAATTACAATAATAAGATATATGTATGCCATTCCGTTTAAATTAAGTGAATTGGTCTATGATCCGATATCACATCAATATATAGCAGCTAATAAATTGTTCTAGAATAAAATGCTATGAAATCATTCATCATATATATGTTCATACTAAATCACTTTAGAATTCTATCAATATTTTGTTTTCCAAAAAAATTGCATAAATATATAAAAAAATACTTATGAAAAATATGCTCTTTGTAGACCTAATCAGTCTAATAACAGAAAGAAATTGCGGCAATATGTAGTCCAATCAACGTTTCAAAAAGAAGAAGAAAAAAACTGTTAGGAACAATCTAATCGCATAATGGAATTGACATAAAGAAATGCACGTAAATTTGGTATTTGTTAATTTATATTTTACTCTCTTATTTTTGTATAAACTTACATATCCTTCTCCAACAACACGGAACGTGTAACCATGGAGATGCATCTGATGAGGGTCTCCAGCCGCTCCAATAAGAAACAACTCTACAACCTAAAATATATTTGTTATGTAATCACATTTTCTTGATACTAAAACTAGTTTTACTAGATTATATTTAAAATGTCTAACATTTTATAAATGCAAAACCGTCTCGAACCAGCTTTGGGGCGCTGCAGCAATTGGCAATGTAAAATGTTTAACAATTTCATAGATACGGATTGTCTCTAAAGGTCATAAGACAAGAAGTTGGCATCATATATTTTACTACAAGATGATTTACTGTACAAACACGTGGTTTGAAGACAAAATAAAGGATTTTAGATCTTGCGATATGTTAATTATTATTATTATTATTATTATTATATACCACATTTCTATAGCACTCTTTTCATAAATAATAAATGTTCAAGAGTGCTTTACATAAATCCGATAAAACATAATCATATATATATATATATAAGACATAATGTACAACATTAATTAAGTAAACCTATTAAACAATAATGATAATCTAAAACCAGTAAAGGATGGTAAGAAATACAGACACATTTAGTTTAAAATCAAGGCACAATTAAAATTAACACTGATAATATAGCAAAAGTAGTACATGTATGATGATTTATGAACTAACGTCCATAGAACTTTATGAAATAATGTGTTTTGAGAGCTCTCTTAAAACATGGCAAGGTATTACAGTCTCTAACGTCAGGTGGTAACGCGTTCCATAATTTCGCTGCGGCTGTCTGGAAGCACCTGTCACCATATCGTACTGTCCGAGATTTAGGCACAACTAATGTCATTGAGTTATTCTGGGACCTCAGATTTCTGACTGGGATGTACACGTCTATCATGTCTTTTATATAGGCTGGTGATTGATCGATGAGGGATTTATATGTATAAGTCAAAATTTTATGTTCGACCCGATACTCTACCGGAAGCCAGTGAAGTTCACGTAAGATAGGTGTTATGTGGTCATATTTGAGTGTTTTGGTCACAATTCTAGCTGCTGTATTTTGAACATGTTGTAACTTGGTCATTGACTGCTTAGAGACTCCATATAACAGTGCATTACAGTAGTCTAACCTAGAAGTAACAAGTGAATTTACTAGAGATTTGGTTGCTTTAACAGTAAGATAGGGTCTGATGTGACCGATTTGTCTTAATTGTGCATAACAGTTCCTACAGACATTATTTACATGTTGTTCCATCCTCATGTTCGAGTCAAGAAATGCACCAAGATTGCGCACACTAGATGATTGGCTAATTTTCGAACCGTCGACTGTTACTGTAACATCTGAAACAGGTTGTGCGTTTTGTTCAGATGAGAAGATGATCAACTCTGTTTTATCGCCGTTTAGCTTCAGCATGTTGGCATTCATCCAACTTACAATATCTTCAAGACATCTTTCAATACGGTTTATATTCTCTTGAATTGAAATATTAGTCACTGGTTTGAAGGATAGATAGAGTTGTGAGTCATCTGCGAAGAAATGGTTGTTTAGATCATGTTTACGGCAGATTTCTCCGACAGGTTTCGTATACATCACATAGCTCTTGGGTCCCAGGACAGACCCTTGAGGTACACTGTACTCCATGTGGACTGACTGTGATAGTTTGTTGTTTATGCATACAGTCTGGTATCGGTCGGTCAGGTATGACGTCATCCATGCGAGTGGCTTGCCTGTTATTCCAAAGTGTCGTTCAAGGCGGCGAAGGAGCGTTCCGTGATCAATTGTATCAAAAGCAGCAGACAAATCAAGCATCACGAGAATAGTCACATTGTTATTATCCAAAGACCGTAGAATGTCATTTTGAACTTTTAACAATGCAGTCTCGGGCGAATGGAACTTGCGATAAGCAGATTGGTTGACCTCGTGTAGATTATTTGTCTTCAGATGGCTCTCAAGTCGTACGTCAACGACCTTTTCCAAGATTTTAGACAGGAATGGCAAGTTAGACACAGGCCTATAGTTTTTCAGTTCGTTAGGATCTAGATTTGGTTTCTTTAGAAGTGGTCTTATTCGTGAGTGTTTGAACATTTTTGGTACATAAGCAGCATCCAAGGATACGTTTATAAAACTGGTTATCACTGGTAATAAATCGAATTTTAGTCTGGTTTAATATGTCCAGACAAAAACTTTATATTTGTAAAAATATCTTGAAGAGGGCATCATTTCCATAAACTGTACCGTGTACGTATATATATGCAGCATTTAGTTCATCTAGGCATTCTTTTAACAGCCATGTTGGAATGGGATCTAACTCACAGGATTCGGTGGCTGATTTTTTAATCAATGCTTTCACTTCTTGCTCTGTGGTTGGAGCAAACACAGTATATTTGACACCCGTATATTCAGATTCCATATCTACATTATCCGGTACCGATTGTGTTTGAGAACGTATGTTATTCCTTATTCTTTCAATCTTTCCGATAAAGAAGTCACTGAATTTCTGGGCAAGGCGCTCTGAAGATGAATCAAATGGTAGAATCACTTCATTTGTATCTCCAAGTAGACCTTTGGTAATCTTAGATAGACTTTTATGATCATTGCCACAAGACTCTATTTTACTTGTATAGTATTCTACACGAGCTTGTTTTAACAGCTTGTTAACACTAGAACAGTGTGTTCTGTAGATCTGATGGTCTATTGTAAGTTTAGTTTCACGCCATTTCCGTTCTAGTTTACGTTTTTCATGTTTGGCTTCGTGGAGTTGCTCTGTATACCACGGACAAGCAGGTCTCAATGTAATAGTCTTGTTAATCATCGGAGCATGTTTATCCAAAATAGAGGTTAGACTGTCTGAATATTCCATCATAAAACCATCTATGTCAGAAGGGATACACTCTTTGTTGAAGAATTCCATTTTCCGTATGTCATCTCGAAAAGAATCAATGTCAATTGCGCGAAGTTTTCTGTAAGAAACCAATTTCCGTACCGGTGCAGGTTTTGAGGCTTTGACATCAAATGTAACAGCAAAATGGTCACGTAAGATTTTTCCACTAGAATCAGAGAGTCCAGGATCTACGACCTCTATGTTTGATACAATGTTAACAACCTATCTATATCCATTTTAATTCTTCGCTGTTAATTACAACTCCTCAAAACTATGAGCTCGAAAGAAATCGTGTTCAAATTGATAAAATGTCACAAATCATTACCAATGAATGATTTAAATAAGCCTTGTCATTATATACGTGAATGTAACGTTTTTTTTACATTTGATGTATGTATCACTTGCACCAATACCAGGCGATAGAAATAGGAATGACATGCTGGCGTTATACCAACCATATTACGTTATGAATAAATATCAACAAGGTTATTTCCAAAAATGATGCTAGGTATCGCCGTTCAGCAAGGTATTTTTTGCCTACACACTGGTTTCAAGAAAGTATTTCAGTTCTATATATAGTCAACCCGACAAAAACATGGCGGAGGCGTGCCCCGTAAGCGCCCTTTTGGAGATCTTTTGTCGTCCATTTTGTTATCATGTGGTATTTAATTCTCCATTATGATTGGCTAAAGGTAGGCGGTGTACAGATAGAAATGGACAAGTCAAGAGTATATGTCGCCGACCAGGAATAGCGACAACAACAGGAGTATTAAAGACTGTTTGACTCTAGACGATTTTACTAGAGCGCATCATATTCGGTGCTACTGCATATTGTGAGATCGCCTCGCGCCAAATACAAGTTTCAGACTTGCCCCTATAATACTCATATTTTAGTTAATGCAATATTATTACATTTACATTTACATGTTACATTATGTACAGAACATACCTCGCCTTTAGGAATGTCCAGCATATGTGTACATAAACAAAGGTCATCGTTGCATTGAGTTTTCGTGTTTATTGTTGACGTGTTACAGAAATTCTTCTCAGCATCGTCCCACTGTGTGGCTAGCGGTGCAGCTGGACGTGTCATCGTAAGCTTCTCTTGTCAAGGTCACATTATATTTTAATTGCTATTTTTAAAATTATTTTTCTTTACAAACGGGAATGCAAAATTGAGTAATAATTTCTATATGTACAGTACAGATGTTCTTTAAATTACATATGCGTACTAGTATAAAAATTTAAAAGAAAACATATCCTAATTCAAACATATACTGTGCTACCTCTGTAGACCAAAACCCTTTGGGAGGCAAAGATGTTTATTGTTGTTGATATGTTTTACACTAGAGAGGTTAAACCTTAGTTTAGGTTGCTTCATAAAGGTTATTGCTCTACGAAGGACCGCTGTACAGAGGTTACAATGCATGATATGTAAGTAGTATGGGCGTTGCCCTTTCAATCCTGGGATCGGATCTTACGGGGGTTGTGCCCTTGTTTCCTTATGTAAAACCAGTATTAAAGTAAGAGCCAAACTTTCTTTATAATCATAACGAGTAAACTATAAAAAAATATCAAAAGCAAAGGATACATTATTTAGAGTTGGAGTAAGAAGTCCCCATCTGACAGGGTTCGGGTAGTACTCGGGATGACTGTAATATGAGTTATCTGTAGACTGGTACCACAGCACTGTAATAATGTAATAAATTCGGTTACAGATGAAAAATGAATGCAGAAGAAATAACGGTATTAGTACACGCATTACATATACCGTACATATTGTTTAATATTTATGGAACGAGTAATAAAGATGTATTCTAAATACATTGTTTCTTAAAAAATCAAAAACTACTGCAGTTTACAAGGAATTATGTTCCGAAACAACGTCTACACACACCGTCTATGGATCATTTTTTTAAAAGTTTTAAAGGCATGCAGAAATTCTGATTAAAATGTTGCCTGTAAATTGAGGAATTTTACACTTTAATAAAGTTTAGCCTGCTGGTGGCAACTGACTCTACCAATGTGACCAATGCACAGCACATCCGTGACGTCTGATCATGATCTGCACTGTTCACTATTAAGTTTATAGTTACTTTGAAAACATCCCTAAAACTAATGAATGGTTTTGTCCAGATGGTAAGACGGAAAAGTCCATTAAATAGAACAAGCGCGGTATGGGTTAATAAATTAGTACCAGCAACCACGAACTTACTAATGTAATATCTAAGACCAACTTTCTCATCCGTGAAGTCTTCGGTTTGTCCGTCAGGAGGGTCATACCTCATATTGGCATGGGGAAGAATGCTTCTGTCAGTGTTCTGTTCCGAGCCAGGGTTCAAAACCTAGAATACAGAAACGTATCGTTATTAAAGGGTGCGATGTTTTAGAATAGTTGTAGACTTGTTAAAGACCCAGTATGCCTTAGAAATGCTGTATTTTGTATTTCTATAACAACTTTTATCTTTGGTATCTTGTCAGAGTTTCCAAAAAACTACTCATTTGCCAAATAATATACTATCTGTTGCTTAGTTTGCTATGTTTGCAAATGGTATACATTGTGTGTATTTAGTAAATGAGTATTTTGTATGGAAGTCAAAATACTTATTTGTTTACATTTTGCTACCTTTACAACAAATCACTCTATGTTCAGTGCTTCTTTTCAGTTGGGCAAAGAACAAACAAAAGCAAAAGATACTCCATCTACGAGACATTTAGTAACTTTTTGGAACTGATACAAAATACCAAAAATTAAAAACGTTTTTCTGAGAAACAAGAATGTTGGTGGTGGTTTTTTGTAGTTTACACTCCGGATCAAAGCAGTAAGCCACGTTGAATTTAGCAGAGAACAGTTCAGCCACCGCATCGTTCCAGGCAGGCTGTCAAGCAGTTTACCAGTACTAGTTGCCTTCACTTTCGCAAGGAACTGAAACTTCTGTACATACCAGAGAAGAGGTACAGTGCGAATGACCCTAGAAAAGATTTCATGATCAATCACAACGAAAGTGACCTGCGTCGTCAGGAATCGAACCCGGGTCGACCGATTCACAGTCCAACGCTCTGCCTATTGAGCTAACCGGACGGCTAGAAAAATGAATGATTGCATTTTGGGGCTTTATTGGCCTTTAAAGTTTATAAGGCTACATATTTTCTGTATTTGAAATGTAAATGTGATTAAAATGAGTACAGAAATGTGTATATTCTATTGAAATCGAGTGTACCATGCGTGAAGTCACGACAAAACCTAATAGGAGCAGGATATATCTTGTTCCGGAACATAATTTTACATTTATTATGCTTACGTTCAAAATTATGAAAACAACATAATTTTACCGTTTTTAAATTTATATAATATGATATTTCAACAGATATAACTTCATACAACTGTATGTATGATGTGTCTAATTTTAAAGTGAAATTATCCATATTGATGTAATGTATGGTACAGTTACATGGTGATATACATGTACATGGAAACATATATGACAACCAACCACAGAAGAATTATATATGTATATGGATGTTGTTGATAAATGTTAGATACATGATCCTATAAAACATGTGCACATATAGCAGATAATAATTTGGTCTACAACAAGAATTATTATTCTTTATAAACATATACTAAACAAATTGCTTAAATCTCTATCATCATTATATTTTTAGGAAATATCCAAATGATATTTTTTCTCTTTTTTATTAATGTTTGAAATATGACCTATACACTTTAAGATCTAGAATGTTCCGATTTCGATATGATAAGTCTCTAATAAACACCGCTTTATGTTGTAAAATAATATGTATACGGTAGCTATAAAATTTTATATTCTTTAAAAAACAACAACATCTTATGCTTACAATGCCTTTTTGAGAAAAATCTTCTACGTCAGTATTTGGCATGTAATCATCTTTGCCTTCGTAGCCGTTATAATGCAGTACAGCTGCACCGTGCCCATCATTGCCGCCACCCACACAGTCACCGTATGATTGAATCCTTATCCAGTAGTCACCGGGCGTCTGGTTGGCAAGCAACACAAAGTCGTATCTCTCACCTGATTTTTATCAAGCGTGAACAGCACTTTATGGTATGATTGCGGAAACTTGCATTTCATTATGGTACAATTATGACTAAATAGTAATTTATGAGAGGGCTACTGTTCAGAAACGGTTAAAGAAATATTTAAAGTACGAATAGAATTAATCAATTTCATTTAACATCTTACTGAACTAGATAACATGTTAAATCAAATATCACAGCCTAAAGATATTCATGTAGTTTTTGATCTTTAAAGATTGTATGTCGTTTCTGATATTGTAGAATACCGCACCTGGATGTACCATGAATGAATCAACAGTTGATGGAGTGATTGGCCATCCATCGGTTGTTATCACTGTAATTTGGTGGTTTTCAACCATCAACCGGAAATAGCATCGTGCTGTCGCTCCAATAACCCGGAAACGAAACCTAGAAGCAAGATAAACATAGATGTACGAGGGTTATTATTAAGGAAACTTCAGCCTTGCCCTTCGCATACAATTCTATATGTTTACAATAGATGTTCGGAACCAGACGAACTTCAGTTTGGAATTGTTTACATATCATTGTATCTGGCAATTGCATTTTCTTGAAGGATTACACCTGGCATTTTCAGGTTTCGTGTGATCCTGGCTTGGCAAAATACATTTACACTGAATACAAGAAAATGTTTTTGTAACGAATCCGTCAACTTAGCAATCATTTCTTTTTAAATGTTAAATGAAAACAAAATAGAATCTAATACATCTGTATAAGATGAGTAGAAATATATTAAACAAAACCTGGTTGAACCGGGTGATGCTCCCCGAATAGGTTTTGGACACAGGAAGGTATACCTCTTGTAGTGTCAGAGATATGTCACAGACAAAGTTCAAAGTGTAAAAAAACCAAAATGTTGCACGCGACACATTGTCTCAATATGGAGATCATTTCTGTGAAAATCCGACTTCAATGAACAAAGTTATGGGCTGGACACGATTTTCTGCAAGGTCATGCTGTGGCCTTGACCTTCAAGGTAGCGACCCAAATTTTGCGCGCGACATATTGTTTTAATATGGTGATCATTTCTGTGAAATAGTTTTAAAATCCGACTTCAAATAACGAAGTTATGGGCCGGACACGACTTTGCTGCAAGGTCATGCTGTGACATTGACCTTTAATTATAAGGTAGCACCAGCATGTTGCGCGCGCCACGTCGTCTCAATATGGAGATCATTTCTGTGAAATAGTTTTAAAAACCGACTTCAAATAATGAAGTTATGGACCGGACACGATTTTGCTGCAAGGTCATACTGTGACCTTGACCTTCAAGGTAGCGATCCAAATTTGTGCCTGACATGTCGTATCAATATGGAGATCATTTCTGTGAAATAGTTTTAAAATCCCACTTCAAATAACAAAGTTATGGGCCGGACACGAATTTGGGACGTACGTATGGACGGACGGACAACCCGGCGACTATATGCTCCCCCGAAATTTTTCGGGGAGCATAAAAACGTCATAATATTGCAAAACAAAACGTGACGTTATAAAGTGCAGTAGTGTAAGAAATCACCGAAAAGTTGAAGTTTATAAGTTATAAAGATTTTTGACAGGTCATATGGCCGTATATAAACGGTTGTTTGTATACATAACCCGAGCCGTAAGTTGAGGGTTACATTGCAAATATGTGTTTATATACGGCCATATAACATGTTAAGGATTTGATAACGAATTTAGAATACTGCAAACCTTCCTAATAAGAGAACAAATGAATGAATTGATAAATCGACTGCATGTATGTATTCTAGGCTTAATGAGGACCCATTCGCCCTTTCAGGCACTGAGAGTACGGACCCCGCAAATCGACTGCAACCATATATATAGATTATATAAGCGTCACGGTTATCCAATGATAAACAACGTTACAAACGTGAAGTATTATAATAATCATCATACCTTTCACCAGAAGACACTGTGAAAACTTCATAAGGCGTATATCCAGCGAACGTATCATCACCTTTAATGACGAAATCTGTTACCTCATATTTTCTGCCACGCCCATTCACCAATACTGTTTATGTTAAAAATTAAATATTTGTAAGAAAACGTGAAAAAAAAAACAATGAAAAATATAAAAAAAAACAAGATGGCCCTTGATCGCTCACCTGACCAATCGAACTCATCTAAACAATTACTTTGACTTGTGACTTAGTTTTTGACCCCAGATAAACCATATTTCAGCTTGACCAAGAAATCATCAAAAAAAACACAAAAAAACTTTCAGACCAATTTCCAAGATATTTAGATCAAAACAGTAGCCACTATAGTGTTAACGAGATTTTTCTATTTTTAGCTCCTGTGACTTAGTTTTTGACCCAAGACGACCCATATTTGAACTTGACCTAGAAATCATCAAAACATCTGACCAATTTTCAGAATATTTGGATCAAAACTGCAGCCACTAGAATGTTAACAAGATTTTTCTATTTTTAGCTCCTTTGACCTTGTTTTTCACCGGAGATGACCCATTTTCGAACTTGACCTAGAAATCATCAAAACAACCCTCCTAATCAATTTCCAGGATATTTAGATCAAAACTGCAGCCACTAGAATGTTAACAAGATTTTTCTAATTTCAGCTCCTGTAACCTAGTTTTTGACCAGAGATGACCCATATTCGAACTTGAACTAGAAATCATCAAAACAACCTTTCTGATCAATTTCCAGAATATTTGGATAAAATTTGCAGCCACTAGAATGTTAACAAGATTTTTCTATATTTAGCTTCCGTGACCTATATTTTGACCAAAGATGACCTGTATTTCATTAAGACAAACATTCTGACAAAGTTTGATTATGCTCCAATCAAAACTGTGACTGCTAGAATGTTAACAACTCAAATGTTGACGACGCACGACGACGTACGCCGGACATAGCACATCACTATACCTCACCTTGACCACTTCGTGATCAGGTGAGCTAAAAAAATAAAGAAAGAAGAAATGTAAATTCTATGCCTTTAAAAATTTGCATATAGATTGAGTACTATAATATGAAAAGATATGATACCCTTTATCGCATACAGACTTTGTTGTATTTGTAAAAGTAAATATTTACTCCAAATTACATGACTATGACTTAAAAATGCGTTTGTTTGTTCAGGAAATACGGTTTTAATCAATTCAGTGAATTTATCCTGCATAGATTCAGTTTTTACATAATAGAATAGTTCAAAATATAACCAAAGCTTCATTCCAAAGCTTCATTTTAAATACAGAGAAAAAGGAAAAAAAATAAAATTAAAAAACGAATGATCAATCCCCCCCCCCCAAAAAAAAAAATCCTCAAAAAACAATAAGAGTGATAAAAAAGAAACAGATAAGAAAAGAAATACTTTTAATCATCTTCGGTGTAACCCAGCGGTGCTGCATTTCCTCCATATAGGTAGATATTTCGGGTTTCTCTGACCAATCAGTGATCACCATAATGTGATCCGACCTGTCATAGTCGTAGAGACTCGAGGAGGGGTCATAAACCTCCGACTCCCTCACTATCAAGGCTCCATGGACACCGTCCCCCAACTGGACACCAGAATGAGAGTGCCACCAGTGAGTGCCAGCGTTCTCCGCGAGAAACTCATACCTAAATATTAATTAGGTTATAATAGTAATAAAAAATAATAATAAATAATTAAAGATTAATAATAATGATAATACATGTAAATAATAATGGTAATAATAATAACTAAAATAGTACTAATAACAATGATATTGATATGATGATGATGATGATGATGCCGATGACGACGATGATGATGATGATGATGATGATTTTAATAATAATATAGGTAATAATAATTATAACGTGAAGAAGAAGAAGAAGAGAAAGACGAAGAAGAAGAAGCAGAAAATATTTTACAACTTGTTATTGATATACCTATTTCCACATATTTCACAATATCTATGCACTATTGTTTCATAAAATCACTTAAGAAATGAAATTTTATTTTTAAAAAAGAGAAGAAAAAAAACACACATGAAGTAAACATGTGAGGCATTTTCGGAAAGAATAGCGAATATCATTTAGAGTACATGTTTTATAATATAGTTGTAAGCGTAATAAAAATTAATACTCTCCCCACTTGAACAAGTTCAATATGATGTATTTGTACTGAATTAGCATACACTATTATAATATATATATTCACGTTTAAAGCTTTCTCAACCAATGCATGATTTGCTACACACAGTAAACATAAAGGCACACACATGTAATACATTTGGCACAATAATTAAGATCTCACTTTACATATTTTTTTTAAGTTAAAGGCACATATAAGCATCTGAGACGAATAAATATTTCATTCATTAAAACGGACATAAATATAATTTTATAACGTTTACATAATAGTTTAAGAGCATGTAAGATGCTTATCACCTGACGAAAGTAGTGCTAAATGTGAAATTAGTGATTATAAAAGAAGCAAAATGTAAAAAGGGGTTTTAATGCTAAATGAAATGAAAAGCAAGGTCGACCTTACGCAAGCGTAAAATAGCAGGTAGAAGGAAGAAATTGTATAAGATCAATACATTGACGAATGTCTGTTTAAATATGCGAATATCGGCTAAATGAAATTATTCTTAACTATATTTGACGACTCCCTAAAAAGGTCCAAGGTTTGTGTTTCAATTTGGGTCTGGACGCAAATTTACAGATAATTCCCTCACCTCGTTTCCCGAATAATCATTTTTGTTGTTTAAAAATGTAGCGTGTTAGCAACGCATGTAACTAAGCAAAAAAAATAATTCTAAGTATATTTTACAACTTTTTGCATTTTTTTTCCATTTTCAGTCTTCACTTAATCTATATAACAAACTTAAGTTTAAAGTCGGAAGACTTTTTGACCTCAGTGGGGCTAAATTGTATCAGACCTAAATCATATATGTAAATGTATCAATTTAAATAAATATCAACATATCAACCACCTTTTATGGTGTAATACTACATCAAATGGAGCATTTATCTCAAAATAAAAATTATTTACAGTGCTGTCATGTCAAAAAATAACCAATTGAGTCCCCTTAACGTTCGCATGGGCATTGAGCGCTCAGGTGAGCTAAAAGGGGGAACACATATAGTATACCAACACACTAAAAGGTATTGTTTTACATACTTGAATGATTCGAACGGCTGAATATTGCACTGGGTGAGTCTAGGTACCCCGTCCATAAAGTTGGTGTTTGTTTGTGTTATTCCATGCCAGTGTATGGTAGTTGCCGACTCTTCGTCTATCATGTTATTTACCCAGACAATTATAGTATCACCTTTACATACCTGAAGAACACAATAATACCTGAACTGAAATTTGATATGCATGGGTCATATTATCCGCTGTTATATACCAGCAGATGCATTACTTTTACCTGCACTTGCAGAAATGTTAATCGAAATATTTGGCATCAAATTTCTATGTTTAACGTAAGTTTTTTTACATCCTTGTTAGGCAAGACAGTATGCCTCGCGCTTTAAATATCGCCCTTACCTCACGTATTTCAACGCCAAACTTATCTACCGTACAAATGGTGGATTTAATTGATGATTTTCAAGTAAGGCACATTTGCAAATCAATATATCCCACTTTTCTTTGCAAGGGAGCATGATAAACAAGAAATATGTGCGGACATGTATGTCCCAGTCCCTTTTCGCAACCAATCGGGTGTCATCGACCATTTCGTCAAATCTTACAAATGAAGTAAATAAATGCCGCAGTGACATAGACATCTTAACTACTGACTTCAAAATTAATAAAGTCAACTACCGGTATCCCCACTTACATAATGGGATGACAGAAGGACTAAGCTTTCTTTCTATATTGATCGGATAAGCTTTGTTTGCTACCGTGACTCTACTTGTCATCATCCATTTCGAGGACTGAAGGCAACGCTTTTATGAATCGTCTGTCATCTTGCGGTCAAAGTCAGTCATATGTTGGCAAATGCCCTCAAAACAAAGATTCTGAACAACCGTCCAACCAAATATAAGTAAGATTTGCGTTTGTTTGTGTTATTCCATGCCAGTGTATGGTAGTTGCCGACTCTTCGTCTATCATGTTGTTTACCCAGACAATTATAGTATCACCTTTACATACCTGAAGAACACAATAATACCTGAACTGAAATTTGATATGCATGGGTCATATTATCCGCTGTTATATACCAGCAGATGCATTACTTTTACCTTCACCTGCAGAAATGTTAATCGAAATATTTGGCATCAAATTTCTATTTTAACGTAAACATCCTTGTTAGGCAAGACAGTATGCCTCGCGCTTTAAATATCGCCCTTACCTCACGTATTTCAACGCCAAACTTATCTACCGTACAAATGGTGGATTTAATTGATGATTTTCAAGTAAGGCACATTTGCAAATCAATATATCCCACTTTTCTTTGCAAGGGAGCATGATAAACAAGAAATATGTGCGGACATGTATGTCCCAGTCCCTTTTCGCAACCAATCGGGTGTCATCGACCATTTCGTCAAATCTTACAAATGAAGTAAATAAATGCCGCAGTGACATAGACATCTTAACTACTGACTTCAAAATTAATAAAGTCAACTACCGGTATCCCCACTTACATAATGGGATGACAGAAGGACTAAGCTTTCTTTCTATATTGATCGGATAAGCTTTGTTTGCTACCGTGACTCTACTTGTCATCATCCATTTCAAGGACTGAAGGCAACGCTTTTATGAATCGTCTGTCATCTTGCGGTCAAAGTCAGTCATATGTTGGCAAATGCCCTCAAAACAAAGATTCTGAACAACCGTCCAACCAAATATAAGTAAGATTTGCAGACCAAAGCGTCCAATAGTTAACATTACAGACAAGATCTTGTCTACGTACCGACACACAATATTCCCCAACTTCTTCGTAGAATGCTATAGTATCACATGATTAGATTTAACGACACGACATTAAGAAATTTGTTATTATTTGACTCGTTAGATTCTGATATGCTCATTTACAAAGCATCGTATAATCAAGATTGTAAAA